AACCCTCACTCCGCGCAAGGGGGATGATCGCACCACGTTGTGTTGAAATGGTCAAGCACCCTCGAGGCAGGTACACAGTGCTTATTACTGTCTCTGGAAATGGAAGCACCAGAAAATAAATTACGTCACACGCAGCTGTCATCCGTATGCAAGGAAGCATGCACAAGATGCCGAACACCCTTAGCAGGATGCAGCGCACCCTTCATGCGACTAGCCGAATATCTCACGGCGCTTCGCGCTTGGTGATGTGAGAGCCTGGTCCGGTGAGAACCCGGCGTGCTCCGTCCCGGCTTTGTAGGGATGCGCGGTCAATGGTCTAACGACTACGGCATGCACGGCAATGAGTACACCCCCACCCCCACCCCATCCCTCGCGCACTTGCACTTGGTAGGATCGCGCACGAGGGACAGTCCGCCAAGACCATCGTGGAGTTTGACAAGGTGCAGGCATGATGAGGTTTCGCGATCGTACGATTGGCGCGGTTACACCATGGTAGAGCTTTCGTGCAAGACCGTTGTTCCACAGGCGATTGACGGAAAGAGGCCGCATGATTTACGGTGTACGTTGTTTTTGTGTTGGCACGTGGTTTGGCCCGGGATTATAGAGTTTGGAGTGACTTCTTGCAAGTTCGTTCCTTGTTGTGACATACAAGTACGTGTTCTTAGAGGTGTGGATGGACTACATAGTCCGCACGTTAGTTTGGCGCTCAAGCGTTAGCGGAAAGAGGAAGACACGCCGCAGTGCGTAAGCTTGGATGGTTGTAGCACGCGTCGCAAGGCTGACGTGTCATAGAGACGTTGCTTGTGGCATGTGAAAGGTTAGGGTCGATTGGTCGGGGGGAAGCAAAGTTCTATCACGTCTCGTGCCTCCCCCCCCTCTTTCATCTACATTCATAGGAAACGATAGGATAATAGAGTATTCGGCACGTGGCGGCTTGATGTCCTTGTCAGGTCAGCTCCAGCGTGTGTTGTCATTGTCCTCGGCTAGTACTGGGGGAGGTGGATGGCTTGGTGGCCATGATGCAAATCTGCCCGCCCAAACAGAATCGGTTCAATCAAAAGGTTGTCATGAGCCACAACTCTAGCGCTTCGGGTATCGACCACCCACTGCAATGGAGGGTGCCATTAGCTTACGTTTTTTTTTTTTTTAATACATACCTTGGCGTTGTTGTACAGTACTCATGTTGTCTTTTGGAGAAGAGAAGCGGATACAGGATACAGCTTGTTCAATTAGCAGCAATTCAGCTTGTTGCACGTCTATTCTTGGCTTCCCTGCCACGCCACTCCCTCCCTGCTGTTGACCCAAGGTGGGGTAAGAGGCATGTCCGAAGAGGGGTGAAGCTCACCCCTCAAGAGAAGAAAAAAAAAACACACACACACACCAAGAATCCCACGTCGACCACCGACTCCCCCAACACAACGAAATCCGAATGCAAGCAGGCTTCGGCGCGAGCGGGAGAATTGAGAAGGAAGACGAGGAAAACAGCGGGTTTTCTACCATCCCGGTTATGAGATGTCATCACTTGTTTTGTAACCTTTTTTGCCTGCGTAGGGGGGGGGTACATGGGACGAGCACTAGCAGATGGTGAGAAGCTCCGCGGCTACAAGGCCCCCAACACAGTAGGAGGGAGCATATGCTTGTTTTGGACGTAGGGGGTGTAATCAAAGCTATGAAAGCCATGCATGTCGTAGTTGTCGCACCTTTGACCACGCATCCCTACGAAACCGGGACGGATTTCGTCACCGGACCAGCTTCGCTCGCGCATTACCAAGCGCGAAAATCCGTGAGGTATTCGGCAAGTCGCATGGGCGGGGGGAGGGGGGCGCGATCGAGAAGTGAGCAGTGCAGTGGAGCAGCCTTTAATACGCTGTTTCAAGTGGGGGGGTGGATTTAGGCGAAACGATCGCTACAAAGGCGGTGTTTTTGTCTCCTTCTACCGCTACACGCCGTTTAGCCCACGTGGAGCCGAAGCAGGTTTTTTTTTTGTCCGCTTCCAGTCAGTCGACCCGAACGGCAGCGCGCCTAATTATCCACTCTCTGTGGTGCTTTGAAATCCTCAGTTGGTGCAGGGGCGTCATCGTTGAAGAATGAAATTTTCATGAAATTAGAGAATCGGCGGTCACGTTTTTTAGGCCGCCAGAATTATCCAGCCCTGGAGACTGGTACAACATGGCACTTTCGGTAATTGCTGTGTTCGGCAGGTGGTACTGCCGCGTGCTCCATGTTGTGAAAGGATCGGCGTGCCCGCAGTCAGTGGAGATCTTGCACAGGGTGTATTCTATGCATACATGTTTCTCGTGAGGCGGATTGCGTGGTAACTCGTGGTTTGGCACTCACCTACTCAAGCTTGGCTTCGCTCGCAGGAAAACCCCCCAAAGCTGCTTTCAACTTCCGCCCCCCATCACCTTCATGGTTTGTCACTGCCTCTCCCTCGATTATGAACGACGATTCGCCAGGCTCTCTCTCTCTCTCCCGGGGGGGGGGGGGGG